GCCGATGCGAACGGTCATGTGAATGCCAACCAGAAGGGCGGCAAGGCCAAGCAGAAGCTCAACAAGCAGCAGAACGCCATGATCCGCATGCAGCAGCAGGTGGAGCGCATCGTGCAGAGCCGCAAGGAGCGCATGGAAAAGTCGGCGTCCGGCGCGGCGCTCGAGGGTGCGCTGGGCAGGGTGAGCCTGAGCTCCACCAAGAATCCGCGCCAGATGCTCCAGCTCTCGGCGGATGCGGCCAAGGCGAACAAGGAGCGCGGGTCGGATGCGGCGGCGGCTCCGGATGCGGGGCATGCGAGGGATGCGGTGCGGCAGGCGCTCGAGGGTGCGTCGCTGGGTGGCGGAGGCAATGCGGACGTGCGTCGGGATCCGTTGACCAAGCACGAGGTGCTGCGCATCCTGGAGAGGCTGTACGATCTGGTGCTGCAGTTGGAGCAGCTGCGACGCAATGCGCCCGCAGCGCCTGGCGAGGTGGGTGTGGAGGATGATGCGGGTGCCGAGGCCAAGGCGGCGTGGAATGCGCATCAGGCGGAGCAGGCGGCGGTGACGGGAGCGCTGTGGACGGAGCTGCGCGTGCTCGAGCCGCTCGAGATTTCGGACCCGCATCCGTTTGTGAGCCTGCTGTCGTCGGCCAAGGGTAAGCGGCTGTTGCCGCGTGCGCTGCGCCATCTCAGCTCGGAGCAGACTCTGACGGCGCTGACGATGGTGGTGGCGTCGTTCGAGTCGCTCGATGTCGTGCGCAACGGACGGTTGCTGGATGATCTTTCGGACGATCCGACGCGGGTGGAGGCGAGGAGGGATGCAGAGAGGCAGAGCGAGACGTTTGCTACCACCATTGTGCCGAGCATGATGCAGATGGCCAGCACAGCGCCGATGCGCATTGTGTCCGGCATGTTGGCGCTGTTTGTCGAGCGCAACGATCCTGTAAGGGTCACGCAGACTCGACCGGGCGTGGCGTTTTTGACCATCTTTTTGTCGCGCGCCGAGACGCTCAAGCAGCAGGGCGATGTGCCCGCCGAGGAGCTGGAGCAGTTTAAGCAGATCTTTGCACTGCTCTTCTCGCGACTCACTGCGCACGGTCAGCTGGTGACGCTGTTCCCCTCGACGCGCACCAAGATGTCGCTGCCGTTCGGAGTTAGCTACTACATGGGCTCTGGGTTGGGCCAGCAGTTGAGCGCACAGACCGTGGGTGGCAAGTATAGGAATGTGGATCTGGAGGACGAGCCGAGCTGGAACCTCATGGCTGCGCTCGCGATCGGTGCGTCCATGGATCAACAGCAGGTGCTCGTGCAGGAGCTGCGCGAGAAGATCCTCGAGAATGTCATCAGCGCCAAGGAGTGGCAGAAGCGCAACCCGGGTGCGGTCCAGGACGATATCAACCCGGACATCCGCATTCGCAACGTCAATCTGCTGCTGCATGCGCTCAACCTCGACGCTGCCCAGATCAGCGTGTAACCCGCAGCCACACTTGATCACAATGGTTTTTTTGTGCAATTTCATTTGTTTCCCCCCTTGCGACCAGGGTTGATGTGGTATTGGGTGTGGGTGTTTAGATGTGGCAGGCGGTAGGAAAGTTGGACTGGGTCCAGACGGCGACTTGCGGTGGGGAGTCTGGCAGTTGGGTGTCGTCGTCGAGGAAGGGGTCGGTGATTTGCACCTCGATGTCGGACTTGCCGACGGACGATACGACTGCGGCATGAAGCAGGTGGGCGGGCGAGCGGGTGTGTGGATGCAGTGCCAGCTGCCTTACCACCAGCGGCACACCCACCTTCATTGCGGCCATGGTCGCCACGGGACCGTCGGCCAACCGCGAGAGCTGCGCGGGTGTGCTGGCGTAGATGCGTGTCCATGCCGCCTCAACCTCGCCTCGGTCGCTACCAGCCAGAGCGTCGGACGGCTCGAGCTTGACGCGCTTCGCAACACCTTCGCCGTCCGAGGTGGGCTGAGGCGAGCATGTGCGCGCTTGCGGCGTGGCCAGCTGCGAATCGTAGTACGCATCGCAGTCGATATGGCGTACCCCCACCCCGACGGGTGTGTCTGCGGAGGTTTCGCGTTTGCGCTTTCGAGGAGCGGATTCATCGATGCCCAGCGCGCCGGCTCCCGGTGGCATCGTGTCGATGCGGACAGACGAAACGGCGGGGGAGTGGATGCGGTATGCGGGCGTGCGGTCGTCGAGCCATGCAGTCGAGTCGTCGCCCGAGGCGTTGCGCGGCGAGGCGATGCGCTCCAGCTGCTGCTTGAGCCGTCGCATCTGGTTGCGCCGCTTCGTGCGCCATGTGCCCTGCCCCGGCGGAACAAGCGCAGCACTAGTGCCAGTACCGGTGCCAGTGTCAGTGGCGGCGCGGTGCGAAATCGTCGCCTCTTCCGATGGCCCAGACGAGCTGCCCGAAGACAACGAAGAGGAAGAAGCTGAGTCGGAAGAGCCCGAGCTTGAAGAATCGGAGGAGTCCGACGAGCTATCTTCGCTGGATGATGTGCTGGCGTCCGAATCCGAGTCAGAGTCGGATGTAGCAGCGGCAGTGCGTTGCATCTGCTTTCGGCGCGCTTCGAACGCGGCCATTGCAGCCGCTGCCCCACCACCGCTGGAGCTCGGCGGCAATGGCATGCTCGGCAGTGGTGGTGCTGCGCTTTGCCTGGCCGAATGCTTGGACGGGGTGGACTTGGTCATGGGGGCGATGGAGCCAGGCATGCGCGGAAGGTCGCTTTGTTCGCCACTCGGAGCCGAGTCGTCGTCGGAGGGCATCCGATGCATGCCGGCACGCAGCATGGCGGCCACTCGTGCAGCTTCCAGCACGGCATTCCGCTCCTCTTCGTCGTCCATCCCGCTTTCCTCCTCCTCCTCCTCCTCCTCCTCCTCCTCCTCCTCCTTGTTGTGCTGGGACTGGAGACGCAC